TAGGTCCAGGATGGAACTTTTGCTCGATGCAGAAGTGGAATTTAAATCTGTGTCTCCCACCTGAAGATTACGTGTTCCGGCCACCTGGAGGTGGCTAAAAATTCAGGGAATCACTCTCCATCCCTGCTTAAAAGGAAGTCAAATACTGAGATTTAACAAAATCTGAATGAGGGGTTGTGTGTGTGTGTGTCCCGGGGATCTTAAAATTTCTGAGAAAGTCTTAATAAGACTTTTTAGTATGTTCCTGTTTCTACTTAAGTCTTTTAAAACCAAGAATTTTCTCACTTCCTACTCCACCTAAAATCAAGGAATCGTCAACATAAGGCCTACGGGTAATACAAATACGTACAACAAAAGCACGCAGCGACCTGCCCTCGAGCTTCGGCAGAAGACTGTGCAGACATAAATAATAAATCATAAATTGGATTTGACCTTTTTCCTGTCTTATGCAGCTGAAGAAAGATCAATAGAGATTGCTGGCACTGAGACAGAGGGGATGTTTCTTTTATTTAGCTGCATTTTCTAAATGGTAACAGATGTTCAGCGAAGGAAGGAGGAAAACAACTGTGCTTCAGCAATTGTACTACTAGCAAGGTGCAAGAACTGATCATCATTTAACGAGGCACATTTTAGAAAAATCCAAGGTCAGAAAGCACTTCTTAGCTTGTAACATGGTATTGCGCTCATCTCTGACCGCACAGGAGGAAAGACCCCTGGCCTGGTAGGAAAATGCGTATCTGATCATCCCCAGGGCAGCTTTCCTGGCACTGTACAGAATCATAGAATCATTAAGGTTGGAAGAGACCTCTAAGATCATCGAGTCCAACCGTCGACCCAACACCACCATGCCCACTAAACCATGTCCCCAAGCCCCTCATCTACATATCTTTTAAATACCTCCAGGGATGGGGACTCAACCACTGCCCTGGGCAGCCTGGTCCAATGTTTAACCACTCCTTCAGTAAAGAAATTTTTCCTCACGTCCAATCTAAACCTCCCCTGGTGCAACTTGAGGCCATTTCCTCTCGTCCTACCGCTTGTTACTTGGGAGAAGGACTGTATCTTATTACAGACAGCTGTATTGCTGTATTTCAGACTGCCGAATTGCTGTATTAGAGCAAAGAACTATTACTGAACAAAAGCACCACTTGTCCCACAGAGCCCCAGATCCAAAGTCTACGTATCAAGAGCCTTTTCAGCCTCTAACGCCTGCAAAGATGGAAAGCAGTCCCTGTGAGCCGGCCAGTTCCCTGCCCTGTGGTAGCATCGCTCTGTCCTACACTGGTACCCCGCCTCAGACCAAGAGTCCGTCCAGTCCAGTCTCTAATCTCAAGTATTGGCCATAAAATGGGAATACAGGAACAGTTGCCACCAGGAGATGTCTTGGGAAAAGGAAGGATGGGGCAAGCATACATAGCGGGTGACGTTTCGCCCAGTGGTCTCCCAGCTGTTGAGGCTTTTCAGCTCAGGGAGCCTCCTGAGCCTCGTGCGGTTTGTCTACTTAGCACCTCTCAACAGATCCCTCTTTCAAGTATTTGCTCAGTCTCTCCTTGAATCCACAGAAACTGCAGGTACCCACAATTTCCTTTGAAGAGGGCTCACACAGACTTCTTTGAAGGGGGACTGTCCTCCTGTGGAGGACATCAAGTTTAGAAGATCAACACTTCATCTATTCTAAACTCTTCTGAATTTCACTCTTTTTTACCTTACCCTTGAGCCTTACAATGAAGAGCAATGATCAAAAGTAAAGCGTAGTCAGTCCTGTCTTCCCCACAGGGAGTCGGATAGCAATGGAAGGAGAAAAGCCTCAGCTTCTTTACCAAAAACCTTTCTGCAGACCTACAGATATCTCTCTTTTCCCTGTACGAGTCATAGCTCGGGATCCCTCTGCGCTGCATATTTAAAGAAATCACAGATTTTTAAAGTGTGCATTGGTGAGCAACACATAAAATGCTCAGTCCTAAAAATATTACCTAACCAGTGTTGTATAGCCCGGACTATCTGTGAGAAGACTTCTTATAATTTCACATTAAAAGAAATGCTAGGCCTCTCCAAATCTATTTTAGCCCATGCATACTAACTAGATATGCTAGGGCTATAAATACATTGCAGTGCAAGACAAAGAAAAAGAATTTAACCCTTATCTTGCACAGAATTCAATACTTGGAGGAACTGGAGGAGTAGAAAAAAGCAGCAGGGCTGTTTGTCACTGGTTTATGACCAGATAAAAAGTTACATGCAACACCCAGCATCCAGCTCCTGAAGTTGGAAAGAAATTTCCATTTACAGTTCCTACTACAAAGACAAATAGAAAGCAGTGTAAGAAGTGGTAAAACGTCTGTGAAGCCTTAATTCATAATGAACTCTAGTAATCAGATAGCCTAGCTGTAAGGAATCGGAAAAGAAACTGGAAGAACAAAAGACTTGGAGCTGCTGTCAGGCAACCAGCAGTTTCTGGCAGAAGTTGGTTACAACTCTGTCATCTGCCCACCTCTTAACAAACACACGGCCAAAACAGGCACAACACTTGCTGGCAAATTCTGAGAAAGTTTTAGGAGCCTAAACGTAACTGTAGAGGAAGTAAAGTGCAAAGGATTTGCAAAACCCATAGGCTCCCCCGTACGCTACGAAGAGAGATTGTTCTCAGCTTTGCAAGGGCTGCAAGCGGTTCTCAACTCTTGCTTATTACAACCAAAATAATAAAGCAGCCCCCACCCTTATCGCCCAGGAGAGTCCAGAATGACTACATTAATCGTAACTTAATAGACATGAAAAAAGGATCCATTTCAGTTCAGCTATGACACTGATGTTCATATAAACGTTAGTCAAGATGCTTCCAACAAAGGCATGGAAATGAAAATCAAGTAGCGATAAACAATTCTCTTGTAAAAAATTTTCCACCGTTTCCCTCTCAAGAATAAGCATGTATTCGTATTTTGTAGACAAAGCAAAACAATCATTTGAACATTTCCATTCAAAAGGAAATAGATAAACAACTTAACCATTTATTTGACTGCATTGTATTTAGACAGCTTGTACATTTCACAACCCCACTGTTTTTGTTCTCATCAAAAAGGATAAAGGGACAGAAGAATATAATCCACTCAAATCAGCAGTCCAGTATTTTGAGATACACTTGATATTTTCATAGATGCCCACCTGATACCTGAACTCCAATATAGGTTGTAATGTTTATACAAGACCTGAAATTTTTTTAACATAGCACTCAGTTTTAGCAATGTCTTGCAGTGCCCTGAAAAATAGTTTCTGATGTACTATGCAACGCCAATTAGATTATGCCTACTTTTCTTGAAGGTGATGAACCTGATCATTCCTTAAAAAACAATATAATGCAAACATCCATTCCAACATGTCAGCCAACAGCAACATCTGGGCAAATTTAAACATAAAAAGCCATCAACTCCTTAGTTAGATTTGTCAATGCAAAAGGTGAGGGGGAGAGGACTGTGTTTTAGCAACAGACATGAGAAATAACCAACTTTTCATCGCTAGATTTCTTTTGAAAACCTATTTTCGTCTCTTTGCAAATTCGGAACTTCCCGCTTGATATCCAAATCCCAAGCAACACAGAGAACAAATCTGTTTCTTTTAATACGAACCAACACATACAGCTTCAGTATCTTCTGTAGTGAACTGTGTGTTACACAGCAGCAATATCAGAACCTTTCAGGCAATGTGCTCTTTTAAAAGAAACGTGCACCTATTTTGCGCAGTATTTTCAAAACGTGCATGGCGACAATTACTTCTTACAATAAACAAACAGAATTGTATTTGAAGTTTGCTCAGAAGCGATGTTTTTGGCAGTGCCTTCATGAAAAGTGATTTCGGCTAACTTCTAAGTCGGCTTTTGAATCTGAAGACACCCACGGCTTAAATATTAACCAATAGAAAACTTGCCTGTCTGGCTTTTCAGTTTTTAAACATCAGCAGACACACAAGATAGCCTAGTTTGCAATTTGCGATACAAGTCCAACAGCTGTTACCAAGGTATGAAACCTCCCTGGTCTGTCTCCTTAGTTCAAGCAAGCCAGAGCAGTCACTACGTCCTGGACCACCGGATCACGGTTGCGAGAAGTCTGTTTCGACTGATTTAACATCACCACCATTTAAGTCTTAACTATGAACGAAACCTCCTGCAAAGCCACCCAGAAAAACTGGCAAACCTGAGGGATCGGGATAACGTGAACAAAAGGTTTTGTCACGTCACGAGGCAGTAGTGGCAACATCCAGGCTTTACGCTGAACTCCAACGTGTTCTGTGAATAACAGACGCCAGTTTATAACGCTTTGTCTTGGGCACCATTTTAAATGTGAGTTTTCTTTACTGAGGGGAACAAACCCCCTCAAAAGCACAAATGGTGGCTACAAGCAGAAAACTCAGAAGGGCCAATTTCCATTAAAAACCTTTATTTTCAAATACAACTCATAATTTGTACATGGTAAGAAATGTCCATCACCATGTGCGATTGGTCTGTGCAAAATAAGGCTTTCCTTTAAATCCAGTTTTCCTGCACAGGGCTCTTTTCCAAATGTGACTGGAGGTAGGGGTTTTGTTGGTTTTGTTTTTAAGTGTACAGTAATTAGCAAAAAAAACCCCATGACTCAAACCAAACCCCCCCCCAAAAAAAAGTGTAGTAAGGCAAATCTGAAGAGTACGCTCAACTACAGAAGAGCGGATTCACTGAGAGTTCATCCTTTCCACAGATTACATAGGTGCTTCCACAAGTCAGCTAATACCTTTTTTTGTTTTTCCAAAGTGAAAAAAACCCAACTGATTCATAGAACTGGGCTATATAATCACACTGAACAAGAAAGCCTAGACACCGTAATTACTGAAAAAATTGATGGGTATTGGTAAAACCTATGTAAGCCCAATTAAAGAAAGGGGGGGAAAAAAAAAAGAAAGAAAGAAAAAACAGAGCAAGAGCGAATGCGAGAGAGAGAGAGAAAGAGAGAGAGAAGTCCTTCCCCGCTGCTTTGATTTTACAGGGAAAAAAATCCCCCAATAATTTAGCTCCTGTAAATTTAGAGAAAATGAGAGCAGCTAAAAATGCATACAATACATCTTGAAATTTATTTCCAAGACCAAGAACCAAAGATTGAAGCATTTTAGACACTGAAGCAAAGCAATCTGAATCTGAAAAAAAATTGTTCCAACTATCTTAAAATAGCTGTTTTTCAGAGCTTCTAGCAATAATTTTGATTAAATAAAATCATACCAATTTACATTAATTTTCTATATCTTCTTTTAAAAGTCCCTCACTCTTTTAATGAAAAAAGTGCATCCAAAACCAGCAGAGATTTACTGGTGACATCAGGTTCTCTTTTAGCAGCTACTCAAGGTTTTCAAAATAGCTTACACTTCTTGCTATAAGAAAAGAAGGGCCTTCCAAACCCTCGTTTGGGAGAAGTATCCAAATTATAAAAATCTGAAATAATTTATTATCAAATCCAGAATTTAAATAAAAGCAGAAATTTTCTTGCAAAGACAATTGAAGAAAGTAAAAGAATAAAAGCATGCACTCCAAACTTAGAGGTGAAGACAAATATACTTATCTATACAGGCACTGGCAGACGCAATTTAATTGTTACTGTTACTCATTGTAACACACACCCCACCCTACAATACATTTTTTCATTCACTAATCACTGAGGTACCAATATTTAAGAATGGAAAATTCAATATTGAAAAATAAAACCTAAAATTGAAGCCTTTTTCCAGAAAACTATGGCAATTTTTGTATGAAATGTTAGTATACTTATAGAATTTTACAATCTACATTGGCTTTTTTCTGGAACCAAAAGTCGCGTTCCACATACAGGTTCTTTGATAAAATGTTCACTGTGTATGTAATACAGTCAGTAGACTTGCAAATGAATGAACATATCTTGGCTATCAACTGGCACATCTTGCTGGTACCAAAAGAACTCGAAGTTTGAAACAATCGGTTTTAATTCTGAACAAATGCGCCATGCCAAAGTGCAACAAATATGTGCGACACTCAATGAGACACTGACAGATTAAGAGCTGCATGGAAATTACTAAGTCCACCTGCAAAGCAATTTTGTACAAATTGCATTGCATGCAAAGGACAACTCTGCGCTGTTGGGACGTCAGTTGCTTGATGTGATGGTTTCTTTTAACGCAGCCATAGTTTAAGACGCAGTGCATCAACTCCATTTAAATAGTATCTGAACAGCCTCTTGTCTCGCACAAACCCAAGGTTTTCATAAAGTTTCAAAGCAGACTTATTTGTGATTTCTGTTTCCAATACAACCTTTAAGGAGAAAAAAAAAAAAAAAAGAAAAAAGCATATCATATTAGAAAGCAGTTGCAGTTACATGACTACTGAACCAATTTCAAAGTTTTTATTTAACGGCACACTTATTAGCAATGACTGGAATTAATTATTTCTTGTCCTGACTTATTCAAGCAACGCCCCTCCATTCCCACATTAAAAAAAAAAAAAATAGCAGTCAATCAACAATTGTAATTGTAAACAACTTCCATTCATATCGAGATTTTAGTTCTTTGCTGTAAATGGTAGTTCAACTCATTACCTAATAGCTGGGGTAAAAACCAACCAAACAAAAACCAAACAACCCCCGCCTCCCAACATCGCCCGCCCCCAACCAACCTACCAAACAGATTAGGGTCGAAAACATACTTTGAATTTTGAATGAGCAACTGAACTTTTGCGTGTCACGAGAACTTGGCACATGAGGTTTTGTTTAGTCATTTAATATCCTTGACTTCTAATTCGATAGATTTAGACCTAGATACAAGCTTCAGCATTCTACGACTAGCTGTCAGACCCAATGTTTGCAACGAATATTTGTGCTCCACACAAGTATCCCAAACTCAAATCAGAGTGCACGCCAGGAAAAAAGAGCAATTTTTTCCATCTTTTTCCCTCTCTGTTGATAAGATCCCAGCTGCAGGAAGACCTGTCATAAATACCTCAGACCAAACCCAAGTGTAAGAGTAGTCCAAATTAAGCAAAGACTCAAAATTACCCTAGAAGTCTCAAGTACAGGCAAAACACCTACACTGGTGTTAACAAGAAGTTAAATACAAAACTGCTGAAGTATGTCGCTCTGAATTGTTTTCCCCTCTTTTCCCCAAATGCACTGAGCAGAGCTCTGGCATCCCGTGCACCCACTCCAAATGATAAAAACTTGTTTTGCCTCTTTACTGTTGTCCAACTCAATTATTTAAGGATTCTGCTATTAAGGACAGATCATGGTTGCGCAAGAACACAGGCTGAACTAATACGCTGACTAGACTACATACAGTCCCATGACAATGTACGTTCACATATTAAACAAGAGCTGATGGACGCTGTAGAAAGACCATATAATGAAAATACAGCCTAAGCAATTTCTGCAGCAAACCAGTGATCACTGCTGGTGTTGAGTCCAGTAACGGCTATTTCTAAACCAGCATTTGATACCCTCTCTGTGTAGTTAGAACTATATACCTAAAACTCCCTTAGTCCAAAAGAAGTCATCTACTCCACCTCAAAAACCCAGGACTCCCTTCTCCTCCGATAAAAAGCAGGAAAACTGGTTAATATCCCCCCACCCCCTTAAAACCAGGAACAAAAATATTAGTCTGTATTTGTAGAGCAGCTTAAGTCAATCCACGTTACGGACTCTGTGGCCCCGCTGCCTTCAGGCTTGCATTTCCATTCTCCCTCACCTCTTCTGCCAGCTCACTAGGCTTGTCGCTGAGCTACTTCAAAAAGCAACCTGGTAGAAAACCTTTCCTTTTTCTCTCCGTCAGGATTGTTTTCTGCAGTCTGAGGAGTGGCTAAGCCAATGTAAAAGAGGGAGGCAGACAGCAGTTAGACTGGTCACCTTCAATAAGATTTAAAAATCCATTTAATGTATATATTTGACCATTGCTAAAGTTTCAAGCCACTCTAACTACATTCCAATGGATAACTCCCCCTGCACTTCTCAGTGTAGGAATGTTGAAAGAATAGCAAACCTGGGGCTAACAAGCCAGTGAACAACATAGGACTTAGAAGAAGTTCCTTTTCCAAAAAGGAACTAAGAGTCACACATTAAAATATTAATAGTCAGAGTTCTTAAATTACAGCAGGACAGTCTGTTGTACCTGCACGCTTCAGACAACCTAATTCAATTCTTAGTCTTATGGCAAGAATTAGAGATTGAATTTCTCTAGCTGGCACCACATAGAATACCACTGTCAAGTCTTGTGACTTGATCGAGTACTCTTAACATCCTTAATCCATTAAAATGGATAACTATTAATTTATAACAAATTATAGAAGCGCAATAGTTTTCCTGAAGAGTGTTATTTTCTACACAATTATGCACATCGTACAACTTCTTAATTCAAATTAAAACAAAGCATTATGCCAGAGAGGTAATCTGACCCACATAAATCCACAGCGCAGGAGACTATTATTTGAACTCTAGCTACAAATGGCATTCACTCTCATAGAAGTTTAGTAAGCCGGCAGAGTGATGTAACAAGTCTGTATTCAACTGCAAGCTTGCACATCTTGCAATGCTAAAAGACTTCCAACACTGCAGATCATTGAATTTGAGGGAGTGGTTAAATGTTGAAATTCAGGTTTGTTGGAATCCCATTACCCTAGTGAATGCTCATCTTGAAAGCAAATGCAAGAGATTTGCTCTGGTATTTCTAAGGAAGACTCAGCACAATGAAAAACAAGTCCCTGATCTCAACATGTTGTGTTGATCTCAAAGGGCTAAAGACACGTTTCTATTATCTAAAAAGGAAACACAGTCATATTTTATCCAAATTTCATTAGCTGTGAATTATCACAATTTCATTGTGAAGGATTCATCTCTTCCTATGTGGGATTTTCAATCAAGCTCCAAACCTTCAATTGTTACGTTTCTTTCTGGTCTCATAGGGTCTATTTTGTTGTACACATATGCCTGTTAAATCCTCTCAAAACACAATCACATCCTCCCCTGGAGACCAGCAAAGGTCTGATTGGATTTAACAGCATTTTCTGCACAAGTTGCAACTTTCTGAAGGCTGTTACTTTCTCTTATGTCTTAAATTTATAAACCTAACATTTTAACTCAACTCTCTAATTTTAACTGGGTTTAGAAGCAAGAAATCTAAGTGAGAGTGGAGTGCGATGTTTCTTGTTACTACCTTTTCATACCTAGAATTTATTCCTAAACTGAAGTAAAATGGAGAGGTCACGCTTTCTTGCTTCTTCAGTTCAAACTCCGAATGAACTCAAGTTTAGAAACCAAGTCAGAGAATGAATACAGCCAAACCAAATAAGCAAATGAAGAAAGTACTCTCTCAGCACTCACAGAAGAGGTTGCCATTCTCACTTGGAAGTCTGGCATGTCATCAGACTCAAGTTATGGGTGCTCATCCAGTGTCCTTCATCGGTTTAACCGCCTTAACTTTTAAAGAAAGGTAGTACCCAAAATATAACGCTTAATACCTGAGATGTTTTGTAGATTAAGAAAAAGCTAAGATGTCAATAGTTTGATAATTTCAAATAGAATTATATAAAAATATACATTTAATTTTTGCAGGTGTGGTACTGAATTAAACTGACACACCTACTGGTGTGGTCAAAAACCCCCCACTTTAAATCGCCCTTAAGCTTCAATGGAAATTCTTATGAGAAGTTGCAACTCCTTTTCACATGCTACATTTTGCTTAAAAAAAGAGCTTTTTTAAGTCCCACTTAGTAGAGCCTTATTTTGATTAGTTACCAGTTTCATGGTATATTATTTCAGTAATACGAAGTGAATGAATCGTAGGCAGATTACTTACAGTCATTTGTTACAGACGGAAAACCTACATATGAATGAACAACTCCTCCTTTCTAATTGTGATTAAGGGATGTAACAGTTCCACATGAAGGTCTTAAGCAGTACAATTTTTGAAAATTGCTTGTCAGTAAAAACTAAGCAAATGTACAAAAAGCGGCCAGATGCCCAACTTGCTGAAGCTAGCACATACTTTCTTACACTGGAAGAATAGTATCTTCAAAACTTTGGAGATGGGAGAAAAACTATTCACCTGATTTATTTCCACAGTTCACATTTTCTGTGCAACCAGCCCACAAAGTTATTCTAAATCTTTGTGACCTGTTGGAAACTCAGTCCATTAAAACCTTGAAAACCTTCAGTTCACTACCCCAAATATTAGATTTCATTAGCATCAAATGCCCAAGAAAGTCACCAAGATAAAAAAAAAAAACACCCAACCAAAAACCCCCAACAAAACCAAAAGATCCCTCAAGTTTTGTAATGTTATATCCAGACACTCCAGCTCAAAGCATGCTGTTGAGTACTTTCTTCAGGCTTGAAGGTTATTTCTAGTTCAACCACCCACCCCCAACATCAGATCGCTTCCCTTGTTTCTATTCTAATACAGGCCATGGCCAGCTTCATGGCCATCTCGTCCCCTCCACACAGATTCCACCCCAGCCAATTCACTTCTTCACTTACTCACCCCACAGCTTCCTCAAGCTGGGAAACAACCCCTGGCTGGAAGGATATTGCCTCTCAGCTTTGAAGCATGGCATATAGCGTGAACTACCTCTTAGGCAGTTGACTGACCACAGAAGCTCGCACTGTAAATCACTTGTTGCATAGGCCTGGCTTAGTTTATTCCCACTAAATTAGCTTACAGGGGGGAAAGAAAAAAAAGTCCTTAATCACTAAAATACTGCAGCATACTTTGAAATGCCAGCATACCAGTAGTGATTTCTCAAGATTTTCATCTATGGTGTTGTATAAATCCTTTATTTTTCAGGAATCAGTGTTGATACCTCAAGAAGTCCAATCTACGCTACTTTGAAAAGTAACACATTGAATGAAGCATTTATCAGATTATATGCCACAACTTACTAAAATTAAGTACATTTACTGCATCTATTCCATAATTAGATTGAAGGGAAGAGTTTCCAAGCAGCCTTTAGAAATTTTTCATGACACCCACAGCTGCATATTCATGTTTTTAATCCTATTCCAAGCAAGTTTCAGAAAATAGCATTTTTTTTTAATTGCAGTTCATCTTATATCAAGTAGCAGCATCTTTTTATTTTCATCATGCTTCTGAGTTTATTAAGGGATGTAGAAAAACATCTTGAAAGCAGCAGAGATGATTAAACTATTTACACACCTCACAAAGACAAATTACTGTGATGCACTACTTCATGTTTGATCAGCTCCAGGCATCAATCTGACAGCCAGAAACCACTCTCCCAACAACTGTTGTAAAAACTGGTGAGGGTACCTGTCTTGGCTCTGTCGGACAGAGCTTTTAATGGGTGGAGAGTTGGACTTTTCAAATTCCGGTCATGACTGAAAACTCGGCAATCCACCATGCGGTACAAGTAACCAACATTATTATTTTGTACCACGTATATCTGGAAGAAACCTACACTTGGTGGCAAAGAAAAAAAGAAAACATTGGCTATTTGGCCAATGTACAGATAACCTGTACATGAAAAGGAACAACATAAATATATCAAATCAGTGTGGGTATGCCTCCATTGACCGGTGTAGAAAGTCAGAAACATACTCTGCTTGCGCTCTACGTTGCCCGGGCATAATAAGCTCCTGTTTCAAAATTCTGTGCCAGCACAAGACTCAGCTGATGCAAAAGCCCCCAAGAAGCAGGGTATAATTAATTCAGAATCATCATCCCACAAACACGGTTACACAGTTTCCAAACTGGAACTGAAACATGCCTGCACCCGTCCAGCACGCACTTCAAGAAGCTTGAGTTGCAGTGTGTTCGATTAAAGAGGGATAGCAATAGTCTCTGAAAAATGCCCTCTGCGCTTAGTACGAAGCATTTATACAGCACCATAGATGAAAGTCTGTGAGTAAGACTTAATGAGGTCTCACTGCAGACTAGCCTGCAATCCTTATCACATTTATTTCATTTTTACAAAGATAAAAAACAGTAAGAAGGACTCTTAGACTAATATTACAGCGGTAGAAAAAGAGGAAGACGCAGGAGAGATCATTATGCGTATACCTGTTAGATCGTCCAATTTAGAAATGAAGTTACATGAGAAGTAGTACATACACTCATAAATCTTACGGTAAGTATTGCAACTCTGGTAGCTCGAGTAGAAATAGCCAGTTCTACTACTGACTCTCTAACAACAGTAGGCAATTCACTTCACTTCTCTGCATCTCAATTCTCCAACTGCGATGTGAACAGCATGATACCATTCCTCAATTATTGTTTAATTTTTTTTTAATCTTGAATACTCTAGCAATAGCAAATTAATTCAAGACCATAGTGGAAAGCAATGGAAAAAACAAACAAAAAACCCCTTTTCTTAATTAGTTCAATGTAGCAAGCAGTAAGACAGATTAGAGCAAAGCATGTTACATATGATGATAGAAGCAACAAGCCAAAACACAGAACTTAAAGAATTACAGAACTATCAGATTGCATTACACTGCCCGAGTACGACGTAACTTATAAAGAGGGAAAGAAAAAAAAAAAAAAAAGACACCAGTAAGCAGAGGCATGAAGGAATCTGAAGGGAAGAATAAATATCTCAAACAATGAAGGAAGTCAGAACATATGCAAGGATGCTGCAAGAGGCGTAACACAACAAGTGGAAAAATAAGCAGAGCATGTGCCAGCAGTCCTGCGACACAAATTGTAGTTTTGCATAAGAAACTTCACCGCACCGCAGTAGGGCAATTGAGGGAGCAGTTGAAACGAGATAAGAGAGATCAAAGGATCATTAACTGTGACACACTGAAATGACACAGCGCTCATGTATCAGGAACAAGCTAACAATTGCATTGTACCAAGCAGATGAAAATGAAAGGGACAAATAACCGGATTAAGGAGAATGGATGTAGGGAGAGTTCCTCACAAGTTAAACATGGCACATAAAAACAGTTGCTTTATATATATATTTTTATATATATATATACATAAAAAAGAAGTAGGGACTGTAATCTGGTAAAAGGAAAGACTGATAACATATAGGCCAGAGAAAGTTTGACAGTGATTCAGTCACTTTCTTTCCAAGTTTTCGCTGACATGCTAAATCATGAGAGTTCTGGTAGTGCTACGTAATATAGCTATGCACTGTCAAAATAGCCTGATGACTTGTGATGAAACCACATTCTGCAATACTACAGCATGTACTGTTCCAGTATCTCTGTGTATTCTGAAAGTATGGAAGTATTACACACAACATGCAAGTTACACTGGGCAGTAGCACCTTAAACTAGAGTCTTTGGAGGAAAACGTGCCTGCGACCGAAGGCTGAGGCGGCTTTGCAAAGTAAAACAAAACCTGAAACACTGAATTTGAGCCCTTATGACAAATTTAGAAAATCCTTCTCCTATTTATGCCATACGTTTTTCTGAGGTTATTTTTCCTTTTATTATAAAAGGAATAGCTTCTTACCAACCCACTCCCCACCTAAAAAAAGTCCTGTAGAAGAAAAACCTGTGAAATGAATCCACATACAGGAGAATGCAAACCATTTACATTATGAAAGTTTTTGATTATAAAATCTTACCTCATCACAATCTCCTTCAACCATAGCATAAATAGCTTTCTTAACCAAGTTTGTACCTGAAATATAGATTTCAGCGTCAGAGTTGCAATGCAAAAGATGCTAGTTTATATATATGACTAACATGTGTGCTACCTACATGACATGACACCTGGGGAAAGCAGGGAGGAAAGAAAGAAAGAAACAAGAAGTTGCAGTCAAGTTGCAGTCTCAAGTTTGAACATTAAAATAATCTGTAAAGTTATCCAGAGACTCAGCTTGAGTGCAAGATTCTTCTAACACAAGGATATTAGAAACAGGCTTCTATGTTTAACACAGTGTTATATATAGCCTTCCAAGATGTGATTCATTCCTTTTTGTTGCATTTAAAGTCAAAATCTGCTGGCACGTACTTGAAGGACAGTCATCTTCCAAGGGAATTTCCTCTTACTAAAACAAATACTTCTATTAGTAACAGAACTTATGAAACCACTTTTCTTGTGGCTCACTCCCATTTGGATTTGCTAGTATCTAATAATATGGTTTGAAGCCCATCCCTTCCCCTCAGTCAAGCATTAATTTAATTCTTTATCATTATTTTTCATCTATTTCACAACAGTTCTACAAATGTAATATCCCTACCTGTCTGTAGAATTGGGGTGAAATTGAAAGTTGTTTTCAAAGTTATTAGTGGAAAAAACTGCTGTTCAATGAAATTGCATAAATCTCACTTCCATAAGAAGGCTAAGGAAAAGGAAAAAAAACCCCAAGGAATCTAGAGAATGTTTTAAAGTATTCTCAAAACTTTAATCAATTAAGATTTTCATTGAACGTATGACAAAACTGTACTACATTTAAAACAAATCTTCAGATTAACAGCATACTTTGAGAAACAGCAAGGTGGCAAGTGTAGGAAAAAAGTCTACATACATAATGCTAAAGCAAGCAAGGCTTTAAATATAAATTCTATTTATATAATTCTAAAATAATGAACCGACTAAAGCGAGGGAAAAGTCTTGCAGAGATCTTCATAACAACGGCATTAGTTCTTATGTACTTATGAATCCAAGCACCTGCAATTAAATTACGGCAGGCTCCTTCGTGACTCAGCTAAAAGGAAAGGAGAGACAGTGATTTCTCAGTAACCTCTTCCCTCTGCTCCACTACAGAAACCAACAATGGCTTCAGAATTGCACTGAAGGAAAAAAAAAAATCCGCACATGCTTGAATAGGCATGATAATATGTAGTGCTTCAAGTTTTTTGGAGGTTTTTGGGGTTGTTTTTTTTTTTTGAAGAGAACAAACACAATGGTACCATTCTGCAATGTATCACCGTATTTTTCCATTGCAAGTAATTTTCTGTCTTTAATCACAAAAGTATGAGCTGTTCAGTGTGAACGAGTGGTAAAGCACATTTCTAGCCTTTAAAGCTGATGTCTACGTTTTAAGTTAAAAATGTTACAAAATGTAATTTCACAACAACCAACACAAAAAAAAAAAGTTCCGTAAGAACAGATCTTTAATTAAGCCAACCAGGATAACTGGTGTTAGAATTGAAAATCCCTTCATCAGGGCAAAACTGATCAACAGGGGAGGGCAAACTCCCTGCCAAGAATGATTTCTTTTATCATGTAACTTCCAGCAAAACAGATCTCCGATTCAGTCATTCAAGTAGCAATACACAACTATTTTTCTTCACTTATTAATACAACGATGAGCTATATACATTCTCCCCAACGGGCACTGTATGCATAATTGATAGGGGAAAGCCAGGGGATAAGTTCCCTGAAAAAAGATTGAATGTAGCATAAAAATACAGTGATGAGGGCACATCTAAAAACGCAAAGCAATTCCCACTGTTCTTATTTGACAGTGGTAACAGGCAGAGGTAAGGGGCTGCTGACTGCCCTTCTTTTTAGCTTTATCATATCCCAGATGTAAATCTCACAGGGCATTTCAGGTTATTTTAACAAAATAAAAAAAGCCACTGGGGAGCTTGTGTGGTCGAGTAAGGCAGGGATGACAGACAAACCACCACATCTAGAAATTCAGTTCTGCTTAAATCTTTATGACAGCTACAGTTATCCCAACTACAGGATTTAAGTAAGAAATAACAAAAAAGGCTATTCTTACCAATTCCTTTTCTTCTGTATTTGGAATCCACTGCTAACATGGCTATATAACCTCTGCGGAACATCTTTTTGTGCATATCCAGCTTGCAGACGATGGCACCTACACACTCCTCACCTACCATGGCCTTAAAGACAAACATACACGTATGCATTCTCAGTTTGTGATCTACAGTGCTACCAAAAGTAGTAAACCAGTTCATTTTAAGGGAACCAGCCACACAAAATTCATTTGCATAAAGCTATAAAAAAAATAACTAAATAAATTTTAAAAAGTCTCCAAAAGTATGAATAAGATTAAAGGACTCATTTCTTTATTACATTCAAATAAAGTTACAGTCAATTAACAACCAATGAATTGTCCTGGAGAGAACCACAGTATTATTCCACGAAGACTACAGGCAAGAACACGTGTGATAGAAAAGGGGGAAGAAAAAAAAAGAAGAAAAAGACCAGGTTAAGGCATAAATCACCCTTTCACACGGGCTGCCGCAGAAGGGAAAAAGTCCATTCCTGTTTTACAGTGATCTGAATTTTCACGTACAAGGGCTGTGGTAGATAACATGCTTAATTTTTGTCTGGTTTTAATGTCAAGGCCACAATGGATCAGAGAAAAATGTTGCTGGGTTTCATCTTTAGAAACTGTCATTTTCAGTCATATGACACCCAAAGAACAAACAAAAAAGCACACAGTTAATTTCACACATTTTAACTGTTCAGAGATTTCATTTGTTAAGAGCTATGCACTGACAGTTAATCCCAAGGGTATTGTCACAAAAAGCGTGGTCAAGGAGATGTAGTTATTCTGAAATATTAAGAAAAAAAACCCCAAAAGAACCCAACTCCTCCCCAAATAGTTATCAAACCACTTGCACAACCACTGTGTTCACCAGAATTTCACCATGAAATCTATTAGAGAAAGAGTGTAACAAAAACTAAGTCATATGTTAACTGAAGGATTAGGCAGCATGAGAGATTAACGACATAATAACCTGCAGCAGTAAAACTGAATAAAGCTGCAGAGTAGGACAGCATCCAAGGGGAGAATGAATTACTATTCTTTCAGGAAAGATTGACAGAGATAAAAGAGAAACTCGTAATTGTACATATGGGTGTATAAGTGGATCCAGACTTTGACAGACCTGTATCTGCAGGGGGGGAACCAGCCTTCGGCTCAAGTGTAGCAACTAAGCCGGGACTACAGCACATGATTGGCACAAGCATGTGCGGGCACAAGCGCTTCTGGATAATCCAAATTTACAACAGTACGACACGTCAAACAAAAAGGACTTGCCAGAGCCAGTATTGCCAGGCCTCAGTGCAGCCCACCTGTGAACCCAGTGCTCGCCTCTCCGAAGTCTATGGTATATACTCTGTAGTCTCCAACCACCTGAACCTTTTTGTATACAGCTTGTAGGCTAAGACTCTACAGACAGAAGATTCATTCATGCAGATCATATTGCAGGCACGGACCCACAGGTTTTTTTGCCCCAAGAAGAATAATGTCTTCTAGCATCTCTACCTGGATGGTGGGTTATTAACCAAGTTAGCCGTCAACCAGGAGCTGTATCAAAGGTGAAACGAAGCAGTCCAAAATGTATGAGCTGCAGTTCCAAAGCTCTATGATACAGCGTGATCCTAACACCATTTCTAATATAGTTTAAGCTCATCAGGCAAATATAATTATTGCTAAGTTTTTATTTGGCAGGAAAACACATTTTTTTAGCAGTATCCAAGAACAACCCTGAACAATCTAAACAAGTGGTTTTCAGAACAAAAACTGTAGCATCATCTAAATGGACTGAAATACACAGCCTCTAAGCAGTCTTTCATTTGTTCTAAAACACAGTTTATTCCATAGAAAAGAAAAGCTGTACTTATACTAAAACTGTGTATGCAAAGCATCAGCTCAAGGCAAGTTTTGTATCTCGGCTCAGACCTGAGAAAACCAGGGAGTTAAATAAAGAGTATCATCAGACAGACTGTTCATAACATTGCTATAATTATGCAGAGTACCTAGATGTAATCTTATACCCCACTAAAAAAAAAAAAAAAATAAGCTCACCACAAACTAGCATGTTATAGTTATGCTTTGCCCTGAAGTGAACACGTGCAAATTGTTGATCGTAACAGTCATGCGGAGAATTTTTAAGATTCCCCCCCGCCACACACACACACTTCAAGAGTAGTGACATTCTAGACACTGCATACCTGTGTTCTTTCTTGTTTAGGGCACTTTTCTGAAAAGCTATGTTCACGAACCATATATTTAAAACACTAAATGAACAGCAAAGAGTTTTGTTTCAGTGATCAAAGCAGTAAATACCCACCGGTTTTACCACTGTTGCCAGAGAGTTGAATAAAGTATGACTCTGTTACCAGTTCCCCAAAGACTTAAATCTATTTCTCTGTCTGCCAGTTAATCGACGGTTGTTCCACTTACGGAGGGAGTGCTGCACTTCCACCTCAATTTGAGGTTTTTTGTTGCCTTTCCTCTCCTTCCTCCTTCTACTCCAGCCTTACCTAAAGCTGGAAATGAACCTAAAATGTGATGTAAAACTTTGTAATTTAATTCCCTGAAGAAGATTAAACTGTGTAAATTAAAAAAATACCCAGACTGAAATAGGGAGAGTGGGGAGAAAAGAGAAAAAGTAGTTCCCACACAACACCATTTATGAAAAGACAGTCACAGGCCAAATTTTCTTTTCAAGTATATGAGAGTACTTCTAAACATACAAGTTTCCACGAACAGAATTCAGCCCAAGTTACTATTCTATATTATAATCCCCACAGAGTAGTATAAGATTTACTTCAATCGTAAGACATTAGCAGGATTAACATACATGAATTCAAATCCAGTATTTACATCAACTTTGTTCTTATGAATAAGTTTAAATGTTTAAAACAAACTAGATTTTAATATCTTCGTATCGCAACCATGTATTACTAGAAGAGTCAGCACAGAAATGTCTGTAAATCAGCAAGAACATTACTTTTCACAAAATTAAACAATTGGCGTTAATTTCATTGGCAAAGATGGCATTAAGTCTGTCAGCCACAGTCTGAGTACGCATTTCATACCCAGATCTTAAGTCTGTCAGCCTCAGTCTGAGTACGCATTTCATACCCAGATCCTGTGACATTTGTTCCCATTTATAGAAGATTAAAACAACCAGCTAGCCCCTGAAAGAGAAATATTTTGTGATTCAAATGCAGCAGAACCTGCGCTACTGCAATACAGCTTCCCTTTCGCACATGCACCAAAATCCGTCCCAAAGTATCAGAGAAACAGCTCTGTATGAATCCTTTGGCTTACATTTAGCGATCATGTTACTGAATGCCATTAGAGGATACATTTAGGCTAATGGTTTTAACCTAAAGTCTGGCAGTTCAGTCAGAGCTCTTTATGATACTGGGCAAATCACTAAGTCGCTCTGTTTCCACTCTATGAAACTGGACACGAGTAATTCCCTCCTGTGCAAGGGCATTGCCAGAAGAACCACGCTAGCTGTTGTTACATACTCAGATGCTGCAATGCCTGAAGTTTTCACAAAGCCGCCGACAGTGAGAAGTAGCACAGCAAGCCTGTATCTGAAAACATGATCGCTCCTAAGAGGAAACTGGAATACAGACAGAGTTTGCAAATTGGGAATGGATGTTGTAGAATTTCGTCCTACGTCGGCCATGAGGCTAGGAAGACTTCCCAGACAGTTTCCTAACTTTCCTGGTTCTTCTTTTATGCCCCAAGTTTTCCACAACTGAAAAACAGGGATGATGTCTTGCAAGTCTTAGTTTCAACATGAAGCACGCTTAGACTTTTGAATAAAATCCAATTAAAAAAAAGGCAAAGCATTAGTATAAAACAAGATCTTAACTGCAGTCATTTAGGATTTACAACACCTCTAAAACCACTTACATGGAATTAATAGGTTCTTTTTAAACTTGTGAAAGTTTAAATTATAAATGCTGCTATAGCTAGTGGCAAAATTAAGAACCCAATAAAAGCACAGATTTTCCAGATTTTTCTTAAAAGGCAGCTGAGTGGAACAGTATTGTGAATTACAGGAGAGGTTACAACACTCAGCCAGAACTCTGCTTTTATTACGTCCTGTCTTATCCAAACTTTGGCACAGATCAAGGTTTCCTAAGCTCACCTCTCCCACGCTGAAGTATTTTGAAAACAATTTTCTGAAATATTTAGTGTATCAGTTCTAAATGGAAGTTTTAGAACTTTAACACTGCTAAGACTAGAAGCCGCAAAAACACTTTAAAAGGAAGCTACAACTTTGAAAATGCATTTACAATCCATATGGGGACAAAGCTGTAGCAATGCTTAAAAATGCTTCATGTGAAAGAAAAGATACCCCTTTCCCCTGTCATTTTTTGACAGACGAGTGGTTATCATAGGTCATTTGAAGAGAAACTGGGCTGGCAGAGCTCCTGGGAATAAGTAAAAACCAGGCATTTACAGGGCATCCACACCTAGCACACCTGCTCTTCCAAAGACAGGCGAAACCTGAGTTTAAGCAGACAGTTGCAGTTTACGAAGGAGAAGGTTATTACCTTGCAACAGCTCAGTCAGATAATGCTGCAGTGTAACACATCAGAACTGATCATCAAGTATTCCCACATTGTTACCCCTAAAGTCAGGAAGACAGTTACACGGATGAATTTGTTCACACCTAGCACACCTGCTCTTCCAAAGACAGGCGAAACCTGAGTTTAAGCAGACAGTTGCAGTTTACGAAGGAGAAGGTTATTACCTTGCAACAGCTCAGTCAGATAATGCTGCAGTGTAACACATCAGAACTGATCATCAAGTATTCCCACATTGTTACCCCTAAAGTCAGGAAGACAGTTACACGGATGAATTTGACGTTAAAACGAACAGGTTTTGAAGATTCCTAGGATCTCCAGGTCCTTTTAAAGTGCAATATGAACTTCTTTTTTGAGCGTACAGTTAGGAAGTGGTTTAATACAGCAAAACATGCTAGTGACTAGGTAAGATTGGTCCTGTGCCTTCCCTCCAGCTGTGCATTCTCACCTCTTCTCTTCCACCAACACCAGTGCCTGTGTCATCCTACTATGAATATACTTGGAGCCCTAAACCAACAGAAACCCGACCCTAAAACATACACATACACACACACACACTTACTTACAAATATATGTTGGCGGTGGGAGGGCTATCTTAGCTTCCCAAATCAGAGAAACACGAGGGTTGGCACAAGCCAGGAAGAGGTAGTTGAACAGAAAGGAAAAGCAAGCAGCCCTTTTGGTTACACTAGCCATTAGAGCAACGGTGCGCCTTGGGAAGGCCAAGCCAAAACTCGGCAAATTTCAAACCCATGAGATAATCATCGACAGGAGTAATGTTAATAATGCCCCCAGAAAACAGCTCTGCATTGTCAGGCATCCAAAATGCTAGACAGCAAAATTATGGAGTTTAAGATGGTTTACTGAACAAATATCAGCAAGGGACAATTGCTGATCATTTACGGAAAATACACATCCCATCTTCAAATTTAAGTGGTGTTAGTACTTTCCCCTCACATGTTGAGAAAGGGAAAGGAGCCCGTGACAGTGCAATAAAGACAGGGGAGTCTGCACTGGAAGATTTAGAAACAGTGATGGTGAAATTCAGTAAGGGAATTGATTGAACCCTACAGATATTTGTTTCAAATACAATCAAATTGCAGTCTAACTCCTCTCCCCAAGACCAATCAAAACCAAACCAAAACCTGAAACCAGAAGGGTGTGAGGCCACAAGGCATTAAAGACAAATGATTGTGTGAGATCGGGCACTATGCTTCTGTTCACCATCCTGACACTGTTCTTGCTAATTGGAATATGCAGTCCCTGACTGAAGATAAATATTTTAAAGAGACTTATTAGATAGAAGTAGTTCAGGAATCCATTAACTGCAGGAACAAATTAAATTTTATAGAACAGAAAGTCTTCAAGACAACCTCTAAAAAACTCTTAAAAATACTAAAACCAATCACAAAAAACACCCACCAAATTTGACTCAACATATTGCAAGAGCTTCAAATTATTAAGTAGACAACAATTGGCTAACAGCTTTAGACATTCATAGCCACATATTCTTCTCTACAGTTTTATGTACTTTACATTGTTCCACCCTTCAAAAAAATGGCAAATTGATTAGAATTGCACAGAGTTCAAGTAAAGTTTTGTTGATTCTTCAAGGCTATTAAAAAAAGAAGCTGTCACTACAAAATAAGCTTAAGACGCTTTCTTTTCCTTGAGTGATATTTTATTCTTTGAATGCACCTGTTAAAAATAAATATTAGAAATCATCTGTTTTACTGCTCTGTCAAACAACTTGCCATTGCTCTTTTCATAACAAAATTCTCAAGTTACTCCCTGATAAAAAAAATAAAGATTTAAAGTCAAAACAGATCCATTGTGATCTAATAGTGTCCAACATTGTCTTGGCTTTCCCAGCAATACACTTGATGCTGAAAGTATGGACATTTGTAGTTCACGAGCCTTTCTTTTCAGTATGAGGTAAATCAGTCACACACATAGCTCAGTGCTTGAAAAATACCATTCTGCTCTGATCAGCATCCTTGTAATGGCAAACATGACTTTGCATCAAGCAACGTTTTCAAATATTTTTGTACTTCTATTTTGTTCCAGAAGGTAATGCTTTGCTCAACTTCTTATAATCCTACTGTATTCCCTCTTCAGGGTTTTAAGAGGCACGGTTCTGAAAATCCTCCTATGAATCATATAAATCCCGCTATAAATTACACCAGACCCTAAACCAAGAACATTCAGGAAGTTTAAGGCCAGATGGATTCCATTAGCCTCACCTCCTGTACTCATATCCTATTAAAATTTTACAGAAATACTCCTGAATTGAAGGGTGTCTTGGCTCTGGCTAAATTATACCTTTCAGAGAGGTGTCCAGCCTTGATTAAAACATCAAGAGAGAAGAATTCATCATTTACCTTAGCAAGGAAGTGCCATACACTCCCATAAATGTTCTGTTTTGCAGACAGAAGTTTTCCTATGAGTAAATCAAACACAGCTAAGCTCCCACTATACACGTATACCCTCAGGCCAACTTATACTCAATTTCATATACCTGTGGACGAATTATCATCCTAAAAGCATACTTTTCAACTGAAACACAAGTTCTTCCATAAGAAGTGCTAAACATTTAGAAAGACAGGGTGACAGCTAAATCAATCTTTTCAATAGTGCAGTAGGAAGAACATAAAACTAAACACATCGTTAGTACAGGAAGACAATCTAAGCCTGAGAATTTCTGCATGCTGCGTACACTATCACATCTGTAAAAAGCAATACGGTTGTACTTGTCTTTTTCAAAGCTAGTAGATCAAAAAGTCTACAAAACCTTTAACAGTGTCTCTCCACATATCACTTAACGTTTATATGCTAGCCATGCTGAAGTCTGTTTTAAAACCATTGTGCAAGAATTACTAAGCACTCATAAGACACTAGTAGACTAAGCACTTTCTTTTTTACATACAAACCAAGGAACTGAGACAGAATGATAAAATGAGCTACCAAAGGTCACAAAAGTCAATGTCAAAACCAAGATTAGAAGCCTTGAATTCCTGGGTCCTCGCCCTGTGCTCAAACCCTTTCCCCACCACTTAAAACATGTATTAGCAAATGTAGGAACTTCAGGCATATGCTTTACTTATATATGCACAGGTCACAAGGGGACTGAAATACAGGTACTTCCAAAAAAGCTTGGTCTTATCCACAAAAAGATTATTAGAAGTATTTCTGCCAATGTCAACCCTTTAATCCTCTCCTCCCCAGCCCCAAACCACTCCCAATTCCTGCCCTCCCTGCCCCCTCCGGCACTTACCAAAAAGCAAAGTTGTGGCCAGTTGTGGATAAAATACCTATATGTGTAAATGGAGTAGGGTTCAGACAGATCTTTGGTGATCAGTCTCATGATATCGGGCATCTGCAGCTCTGACTCATATCGGACGTATCGTATCGTTAGGTCCTCCTCGGGCTGAGAGTCCGTTCCCGAGCCTTTCAAACTGCAAGCTGCTGCTAAGGACCTGGAGAGTAGCAGCAGGGACTCCTCCTCCTCCCCTCCTTCATCCCCCTCCTCCTGCTCTTCCTCCTCCAAGCCAGTCCCTCCTGCCAGTCCATTGCGGGCTGCAGTCTTAGCAGCAGTCGTAGTTGTGGCAGCAGGCTGGCTCCTGTCCCCTGTTGCTGCTGCTGGGGGAGAAGGAGGAGGAGAGGGTGCAGTCCTTCCCTGGGGAGGGAGGTGGTTGGTAAGGGGGGATGAGCACGGTGCTGTGGTCGGGGGCGATGACTGCTGCTGCTGCTGTCCGGAGCCCATTGTTTTGCTGGCTCGCTTGTTCTCCAGCCCCTCGGGGGCTGCCCCTGCCTCCGAGCTGAGGATCTTGCTCTTGAGGGAGGCCCGCAGGTGCCGCAGCTCGGGGCTGATGAGGCCGTTGAGCTGGTGGTTGTGGTGCGGGGGATGGTGGTGGTGGTGGTGGAGGCGGTGCTGCTGCGGCCCCCCCTTGCCGCCGTCGCTGCCTCCTCCTCCTCGCTGCTGCTGCTCCCGTCCGCCCGCGGGTCCCTCCTCTTCCTCCTCCTCTTCGGCCTCCTCGTCCTGGGCCCCGGTG